GAAAATAATGTTCTGGTGCCCCACCACCACCAGGGGAATTAAACCAAGGGCCTTTGCACATGCTAGGCAAGTGGTCTACCACTGAACTACATCCCATCCCTTTTCTAGTGCTTTCTGATTTGGTGATTGATTAGAAGAATATGTGGAGTAGAGGGTAACCAGGCAAATTTTTAAAATTCAGAAATAATCTTTTAAACAGTGAAGATTCTAATGCCAAAGAACAATTTAAAACCTGAATTTAAAAAACAAAGAGAAAGAGAAAAGTGATGTTGCAGCAACCACCGGAAGTTAGAGGAAACATAAAATGGATTCTCCTAGAGCCCCAGGAGGGAGCATGGCCCCGCCATATTTTGGATTTCTGGCCTTCAGATCTATGAGAAAGTATTCCTATGTCATTTTAAGCTAGTATGTTGGTAATAATTTGGTTCAGTCTTCTCTCCTCTTTTTCTAAATTTACCTGTGCAGATACACAGCTCTGTCACATTGGAGAGTGTGTCTTCTACAACACTGCCATGTTGTTCAAGAACCTTATTCTCCCTACAAATAATCCTATTTCCCTTTCACTTAAAACTATCTTCTCTACTCCCTCCCCCATCTTAAGCCACTGAAAAACCTAAACAATATATCTGAAACTACAGGACCTCAGTGAATAGGAATCAGTTATGTATACTATTATACTTCTTTTGACTTATTGCCTACTAGACTCTTCCACTTTTTTAAGAAGTTGAGAATATAATTATCTTTGAGTCTCTTAGGCAACCACATCCCTATTATCCTTTCCAACATACTCTATTATTTCTCCAGTGGGATTTTTCCTTTATGCAAGACCTATATTCTTTCTGGAAGGCCCATAGACAAAGTAGGCCTTCTCCCCTGACCCTATGCCAAATACCAAACAAAAGGCAATTCTATGAAACATCATTGTAAGAATATCACCCACTGTGGCATCAGTTATATCTAAGACATGTACCCTAGATAGGATGAATATAAAGGAAAGAGGATTTCTATTTTCCTCCCTACTAACCAGAGCAAAATTATATATGTGATAAGAGAAACTATCTGATATTTACATATGTGTGTCTTATTTCTTAAAGGAGAGAAAATGACTTAGAAATATATTTAAGGAAATAATGACAAAATTCCCAAAATCTGAGTAGAGATGACAAATGCAGGTAGAGAAGTTCGAAGATTACCAACCAAATTCAACCCAAAGAGGAGCTCATGAAGACATCATAATCAAATTTTCAAAAATCTAGAACAAAGATACAAAACATCACATTTAAGGAGACCTAATATGGCTTTCAGATTTCTCAGCAGAAAATTTGCAGGCTGGGAGAAAGTGAGATAATATATTCAAAGTGTTGATGGAAAAAAGTACCAGCTAAGAATGCTTTATGTAGAGTTCATCACCAGAGTCTGGCTTATAGGAATTATTAAAGGGAATTCTTTAAGCTGAAACAAAAGGCTGCTAACTGATATATATAGATTAAACATAGATATAGACATATGAAAGTTAAAAATTCAGTGGTATAAATAATGCATAGTCATGCTCAGAATTCTGTGAAACTGTAAAGGTAGTATGTAATTTAACCCTACTATGAGAGTTAAAAGACAAAATTATTAAAAACATTACAGGTTTTAGCCACTAAATATATCTGTTCCATTCTTGATGTCTCTGGCTATTACCATCCTAGCCTAAGCTACCAGGATCTTTCCACCTGGAATATACAACTACCATATTTCCCATCTGGGCTTTACATATAATCTTGACCTTCTCAAATCCATTCTCCTCAATGCAGCAATTTCAAATGCAAACATGAACATGGCACATTATATACCCAATTCCTGCTTAGAACACTTCAGTTTCCTTATGGTAAAGACCAAATCCCTGTTGTTGGCCTACATGACCTGCATGATTTGGTCCTTATTTACTTCTCAGTCTCATCTCTACCTCTCTTTTTTGTTAGTCCTCTTTCAATATCCTAAAACTTCTAAGCTTCTAGCCCCATACACTTCCCTCTACCTAGAAAATTCTTTTCATCCCCATCTCTACCCTCCACATCCTTTCACCAACTTATCCTTCAGTTCTTGGTGCAGTGACACTGTGCCAAATCCTTTTATTATTTGAGGTTCCCACTGAAGTTTGTCCCTTACCACTGATTGACCACAGCTGTAATTTTACAATAATTTATATTGATCAATATCAATTTTTCCTATCTGACAAGAAAACTCATAAAGGCAGAGATTATGTCTTTTTAAATTCATTATTAAATCATCAAGACATACCATAATACCTAACACGGGTATTCAATATATATTTGTTGAATAAATTATCAAATATTCCTTTTAGGACCAGGAAAGACAATTGGCATTCACTAACATATTATTAGATCACTAGTGACCTTTGAAAGTATAGTTTTAATATACTGATAAAGTAGACTTCAGAACACAGACACTTGAGCCACCAAGCAATGAGAATAGGGAAGAGAGGACGCACAAGAAGGCTGACAAAGGATATGTGGCTTATCTTCCTTTTGCTATCCTTTATGTCATTACTGTTGTTCCCCCAGTATTGGGAAGACTAAAATAGGGAAGAAATGAAAATGTTAGAAACAGGATATAATTGGTCAGACAAGAAAAAACTACAGTTGAGGGAGTTTGAACAACGAAAGGGTGAGGTTAATAAAGATATCATAAAGAATGATCAATTTAAGCATGACCATATAACTAGCTGAAAAGTAATATTTGAACTCATCCATAAAGACACTAATGGGTTAATAAGCCACTTACACCTAGTTAGAGAGAGCTTATGGAAATGAGCTGGGTTGCAATTAAAAGGCAAAGAAGGCATGTTAAACAACACCACTTGGATATAATTAGCAAAATCCAGATTACGGGAAACTTGATCCAACTAACAACCTGGTTCTTTCAACAAATAAACTGCAAGGGGAAAATGGAGGAGGAATTTTTAGATTAAAAGAAATTTAAAAGCATACCAATCAATCATAATGTGTGGGTTTGATTAGATACTGGTTCAAGGATGCAAACTAAATAAGAGATTAAGTAGGAAAGTAAAACTGGAGATTTGATATCACATACATTAAATACTTTAGGTGTGATAATAGTATTGTTACATTTTTTAATGTCTTTATGTATTATATTGAAATATTTATACATTTCAGATACCTGTAATTTACTTCAAAACAGTAACACAAGAGAAGCCATGTGGGCAATGACATAAAGGCAGCAAGACTAGTCATGTGTTAACAATTCCTAGAGCAGGATATTGAGTTCACTGTATACCATTTCTTTTTAATGTTTAAGATTTCCCATACTAGCTTTTTTTTAAAAGATGATATTGGGTTTGGAAGCTTAGAATATTCTTCCATTTACTATATATATATA